TACATTTTATAACAAATTTTGTATTTGTAAATAAATGATTGTATAGTCTTTTAGGATTTTTTGCTGTCTTAATGACAGCTAAAACTTTATAGGGTGCTTACTGTGCCCCAGGTAATGCATTAATCCTGGCTCTTTTAATATTCATAACACCTTTCTGAAGTGCTAAAATTAGGGAGAAATTAATTTTTCAAAAATTAAATTAAGCTTGAAAAAAAGCAAAAGAAACTCTAAACAATTAAGCTTGGAGAGAATAAAGAGCTCAAGACTACCTAGTAATGTAACTATGTCTTGGGATTAACTCAGAAAAATCAAGTATAGAAGAACTTAATTAAGCTTCTCATTAATATTTTCCATCTCTAAGAACTTGAAACCAGGGTGTTACTTAAGACTGAGGACTAGAGATTGGTTTGGTGCTACACACCTTTAATTCCATCAACTCAATAGGCTGAGACAGAGAATTGCAAGTTTGATGCCAGACTCAGAATTTTGTGAGATTGTAAGCAACCTAGTAAGACCTGGTCTCAAAATAAATAACTTTAAGAGGCTGGAGATATAACCCAGTTGCAAAGCACCACTGGGACCAGTTTCCAATACCCTGAACAAACAAAAAATAATCAAACAATTGAGAACAAGAAAAATACTTGAGAAAAAGAAAAACACTGAAGAGTAATTCTGAAGATTTATTGGAAGTAGAATCATTCATTATTCTTCTAACATTCTGATTTCTATTATTTCATCATTCTTAGTACAATATGGCTGTGTTCATGTGTGTGTGTGTGTGTGTGTGTGAGTGTGTGTGTTTGTGTGTGTATCTTATCATTTTCTCATCTGAAATTTTTAAAAATTCAATCCATGAGATTTAGGGCAAATCTTTCTCTTTAGCAATTACCTATGACACTTGGGTTTTATAAATAATAGATCTTTGGTAGATGCGAAAGAAACACAAAATGGATGAGCTTGAAAGTTTACATTTATCAAACTGCCAAGCTCCTTTTCAGTTTATAACAAAAGAAAGTCCTAAAGTTAATTCTGCCGCAGGTCTGGTTTGGTTAACTAAATATTTCTTTAAATGAGTAGAAAAAATTTACCCCAAATTTAGTGTAGGTCTGAGAAGGCTTATTTCTTTAATACTTTGATGATACCCTACCACTGAACTACATTTCCATAGCTGAGGTCAAATGCGTGTACCACCATGCCATATAATGGTTTTCACTGTCGGTTCAGTGGTGAGGAGTACCAAAAAAGGAGAAAAAAAAAAAAAGAAGAAAGAAGTAACAGAAAAGCAAGGAATCAAAATCAATCAGATATTTCAAACTTTAAACACCAGTAGAAAAATAAATCAATGTTTTTTTTAATTGAGATGTTATTGTAAAACAAAATATTATTTAATAAAATAATTGTTTCAGTTAAAGTGTCTCTTTGCAAAACCTAAGTGTCTTTTTAGATTTCAAAATTTCAATCTAGAAACTCAACATGCACTTTATTTCCTTATTTGACATTTACTGTTATTATATGCAACATACAGGTGTTCCAGGATTCCTGAACATCAAAGAAAGACACACACTATATCTTAATTATCATATAAAGGGGACAGGCACAAATAGAAATACTCAAGGATAGTCAAGCTGAGTTCCATCAGAAAACATAATTCAAGCCATGAGGGCAAATAACAAAAAGACAACTATTTATTATATTAGATAGGTGAGGAATTTAGGGGAAAAATAAACCAATGTCAGAGAGGAAGAATGTAGCCAGGATAGGGAGTGGAAGGAGCATGCTGTTTCAGATAAGATGGCCATAGGATATCTCTCAGAAAATGTAGCATCTTACTAGAGGAAGAATAAGTAGTATGGACTGAGAAATGCTGTGTGCAAAGGCCCCAAGGGAATATTCTTGGCAGAATGGAAAATAAAAACTTGGAGATATGATGTGGGTTGTTTCATACACCATGATGGGGGACATGAGGAAGATAATGGGTTTTAGGGAGTGAGATCAGGAGCCATTCAAGAGTTTGAAATAAATAAATTTAGTTTTTGAAAGGATCATTTCCATGTAGGAAGTTAGCAGTGGTCTTTGAGTAAACAACTGAGAGAAATTAAATGAAAACCAATGTATCATTTTTCTGTCTTTAAGGAAACTACACCTTAAGAGTTGATTGTACACCACTGATGTATAGCTTGGTATACAATCTAACAAAAGAAGTAAAAAGAAAATATATATATA